ATTGCTGCTGGTCATCTTCGTGTCGTCCCAGATACTCAGCTTCGCCATCTGCACTGACGTCACGCCACAAGATGCACAGAGTCTGCTTCAGCAAGCTCTCCAAAACCCAGACAAAGACAAAATAGAGCAGCTCGTCTCCCTGGCTTTTCAAGCCCGAGTTGGTCGGGTAAGATTTCTGCACTGTTTTAGTTAAGTGAGAGATGTTTTTACTGCTCTCGAAACACTACATAAGGTTATATTATGAGCGCAGAAAACACAACTTTACCTCAGAATTACAAGTTCTACCTGATCAGTATCTAGTTTTGAAAAGATTGATGTTAAAGATTTTGAGTTTTATATCATGTCAAGCTTTTTCGAATGCACTGCTTTGAATATCTTGATAACGTCTCCGAATAACCTTACGATTTTGATAGAGCAGGTAGATCATTTGGTTTTTGATCTCGTGGTCTCAGTAACTCAAAACGGCAGACAGAACTGTGTACTTCTAAGGTAGAGACAAGTCTGTTGTATTTACAACAGGCAGTTCACAGCACGGCTTGATTTCGTTTAATGATTAGGTTAAAAGGTTCAAAATCTTATGGTAAAAAAATCGTCGTAAAAACAAATGTTCCGCACTGTACTTTTTTTAATCAGCAGAAATAATGGTAATAAGTGTCGTTTTTATACATTATTATTATGCTGGTAGGTGACTGTGAAACCCCTGGGTATTAACAGCGAAACATCATGTTAATGTTGATAGTGTTTGAGCGCTTAATCGGCTGCTTACACCGTGTGCTTCCCAGGATGCCGAGAATGTTTCGGAGTGTTCTATGGTCTGCTGGGCGTGATATAATATAGAAAGTAAAGCGAAAAAGGCGATACAAATCCGTTTATTATTTATCATAATATAGGCTTCTTTTTTATTGACATCTTCGGGGAGACATGAATGGACAACCATAATGGCGGATATCTGTTTCAGATTTGGATCTTTATGATGATAATGATGATGAGATGTTTTACAACCATAAGGACCGAACAAAATTCATAAATGGATAATAAAGTCGTATCTATCTTATCTTAGATAATTTAATTTAAGCCAGTTACTTTGACACTGGTATCAGGACTAACACACGCAGAAAGGGATACGCATTTTCATCTGACAAACTAAAGATACTCGATTTTAAAAACAACAACAAAAACAAAACAAAAATGTAAAAAACAACGTACAGCTAGCTCAGATATTTCTTGAAATACGTTGAACTAGATATTAGGTTTGAAAGGTATTCAAGGGGCGATGCCCCGCGGAATGTTCATAAATTTGTATCAAAGAGACTCCCCAGTTTTGTCATTAGTGTACGTGTCTCCAAAAAGGTGTAATGCTGGAGAGCTGTCCTTTGAGGGGAGGGGTGTGATATAAATTCTTACTCTGACGTAGTCAGGTTTTCATTATCACATGAAATGTCCTGCCAAGTGCTATTTTTTTAGTTGGGGGATGGGGAGCCTTCTCTCTGTCTGTGTCTGTCTCTGTCTCTGTCTGTCTTTCTGTGTGTGTGTGTGTGTGTGTGTGTATGTGTGTGTATGTGTGTGTGTGTGTGTGTGTGTGTGTGTGTGTGTGTGTGTGTGTGTGTGTGTGTTGGAGTGTTTCTCTCTCGCTCTCTCTTTCTCTCTCTCTATTTTGGTCCCTCTCTTTTTTCTCTCTCTTTCTCTCTCCCAGTCTCTCTCTCTCTCTCTCTTCCTCTCTCCCTACCTTCTCTCTCTCTCTCTTTCTCTCTCTCTCCCTCGGCCTCCTCTTCTTTCTCTCTCCCTCTTTCTCTCTTTGCATTTTATAAGGACAGTGGACTAAACTATTAGATTCTAGATTGGACATCAGAAAAGGTCTATTAGAAACAGCTGCTTGTGAGCAACATAACGTCAGACAACAACATCAGCAGATGGCATCACACTTATAGAAGTGTGGATCCCTGGACACAAAAACATACCAGACGATGACAAAACGAGTACACTACACTACCTTAGAATTACAAAGTTTTATCTCACATTGTGGCTGTTTTGAGTTACTTAAACCTATAATTAATGTGCTATCTGCTCTATCAAAATCGTAAGATTATTCAGAGTCATTGTCAAAACATTCAAAGAAATACTCTCGAAAAAGCTTGACATGTAGTGAAACTCAAAATATTTGATATTAAAACTAGGTATTGGCCAGATAGGATTTTGTAATTCTAGGCGACTACACAAAAGAAAAAATCTAATCCAAGTACAACAAATCATCACTAAAAACAACAACAAAAATGATCACCATTAAGGGAAACCACAAAGAGGAATGGATGAACTGAAGGGCAAGAGGTCCGACTCGACTGACAGCTCAGTTGACAAAAGCACAATATGAGCAAGGGGAATCGAACCGACACCATAAAAAACCTCAACAGAACAGAAGGAAACAAACAATCCGCCCCTGACGATAGTATTCTGCCTCCGCCAATGTGATTAAATGGTGACCGAAGTCGAGGACTTCCAAAGCCTGAATATCCTTGGAAAATGTAAATCCATAGATATGTTTGCCTTTAACCAACTTTTCACAGTAAATCCCAGACATCATACGTTTAAATGGACTAAAGATATGGTGCTGAGCCAAAAAACAAAAGATAAAAACTGCCATGCCAAAACAAAATGAAAATAATATAGCCCTTTTTTATTTTCGTTATTTTGACGAGCGACTGATTTCACCAAGATGCCACACACGTGAACTGGGTGAACTGAAATGACACGCGCACAAAAAGACCGGAACAAAGCAAAAGGAAACAAGCAACGATAATACGCCTGTAACGATTGTTCACCCCCGAACTCAGCACGTACCTCTACACTACAGCCTAAACAAAATGAAGCCAAAATAACTACCAATGGAATTTATAATTAATAAATGGCCGATAAAGTTCGGGGACTTCCAAAGTTTGGGTGCCTTTGAAATCGGAAAATTTACTTTTGTTTATACCTTTAATCAAAAGTTTTTCAGTAAAATTTCACACAAAAAATATTTTGAAATGGACGTAAAAGGTGTTGAGGCAGTTTAAAAAGTCAAGTTTCAAATATTGCTAATGAGCAGAAATTATCTGTTTTTCTTTTTTCATTATTTTGACGAATGCCTGACTTCACCACAATGAAAAACTTGTGACGGTGTCTGTAAAACAGTCCAACATCTGCTCTTTAAATGTCACAGACTACAGGGTCTCCAACTGCAACTTCTTCCTCCCATCCCTACCATAGACAATACAATATAAAAGAACAACATAATTCATTTCGAAGTCTACCACCTTTCTTGTCATGGAACTGGGCCGAATGGGTACACACTCAAAGGATGCGGGATGAATATTTCTTTTTAAATTCTAAATGTGGCTGGCCATCAATTATCTTAGTACCGGTCAATATAACCTTAGTCAGCAGAGAAATTGGTCACCGTTGCCTGTAGTGTCGCACTCAAAAGAACCGAGTTCGGTGCCCTAATAGGTTGAAAATTAATGTATCGAGTATCGTCGGAAGCCCTTTTTTTTAAATGTTCAAAATTGTGTAAATGGTTGAATAAAAAAACCTTTATTAAATATAGAAGTAGGCTACTTTTGCTCTGTCTGTGAGAGCAACCCAGGGGAGGGAGGGTGGGTGGGCGGGGCATGGGGTAATATCCCAAGCAGGAAGACTAAGTGCTCCATTGATTATCTTACTGGGTAAAAGAAAACGTGAGCTTTCCATGTAACTTATATCAGACTAATAACATACATTGGGGGGTCTCCACTCTAACCGGGGCCACATTTCGATCACCGCGATGTCACGCCGCTTTTAACTTATCTTTTCATGATTGAGGTCACATTTGCGTCACCATGTCGTCGTGTGAATTAGAAGCTTTTGACTTATTCTAAGAACTGGTGATCGATTTGTTCTTCTCCTCGTCATCAAGGACCAGTCAAACTCATAGCCTTCTGTGTGCAAGGTGAGGAACTTTACCGCTTCATCGCAGACGCTGGTCTCTTGTTTTCTGCCATTCTATTTATTCTGTACCAAGGGGGTGCTACTTATTTTACTTTCACTTTTTCATCTTCTGTCGCCGAAGGGAGATGCAGTTAAATACGGTAGGCCACCTCAGCAGCTCTTTCATTTGAGATTTCTTAGGGTTTCAAACAGGTGATAACACTACGCAATACGCAGTGTGAGTCAATATTATGTTGCTTCTAGTATGGGGTATGGGATCAACCCAATAATAAAAGGTGTCAAAATATCAAATATTGTACTGTTGGTCGCTTGTGTGTGTGTGTGTGTGTATGTGTGTGTGTGTGTGTGTGTGTGTAAGTGGGTGTATGTGTGTGTGTGTGGTTGTGTGTGTTTGTGTGTGTGCGTCTGTGTTTGTGTGTGTTTGTGTGTGTGCGTCTGTGTTTGTGTGTGTGTGTGTGTGTGTGTGCACGCGAGCATGTAAGTGCATGTTTATATATATGTGTGTGTGTGTGTGTGTATGTGTGTGTGTATGTGTGTGTGTGTGTGTGTGTGTGTATGTGTGTGTGTGTGTGTGTGTGTGTGTGTATTGATCATGCTGGTGACCAGGTCGATACTGTTCAGAAATCTGTATAATAATAACGAAGTGTATTATAACCTGTTTGCCCTGCTCTCATTTCAGACACAGAGCATTTCCATGCCTTCGTCCACTGGCCAAGTGGGAGATATCGGAGGCCAGAGGAAAAAAAGATCGTTCGACCCGATTTGTCCTCAGCAACCCGACCAGTCGAGAGTGTACAATTTGGGCTCCAACCCGGAGGGTTATCCATTGTACGTGAATCGTTCGTGGAAACTAAGATAAGATAAGATAAATAAGATATATCTTTATTGTCCAGATCCTGGCACATTGGTTTGATGTTTCACCGAGTACACACACACACACACACTCTCTCTCTCTCTCTCTCTCTCTCTCTCTCTCTTTCTCTCTCTCTCTCTCTCTCTCTCTCTCTCTCTCTCTCTCTCTCTCTCGCTATCAATCTCTTATCTTTAAGCATGTTTGTGAAGAAGACCTGCTCTTTATTTATTAATGATTTACTTATGTGTATTTCTTTCTTTGTCACAAAAGATATAACAATTCTCTACTAGTCAATCCACTGTTCTATATAATTTATACTTACAAAATAATGTGCTCTTTTGATTGTCTGTTTAAATCAACTGTGTGTCTATGCTTAAACTCAGACACACCCACATACCCACACAGACCCGGGTGAACTCCCGTTTACATAATATACCTGCACATTTTCATGATTAACAGTTTAATGTTATACATGATCTCAGTAGAGGAGGAACTGTGGCCTGTTAATCTGAATAATGATATAGAAAAGTAGCTGGTTAAACGCAAACATAAATGGATTCCACTGACCGTCGGATTCGCAAGTCATGCATATAAATTAATCGTTAGAAACTAAGACTATAAATCCAAATTGTGAACTGTTTCCTTTATCAGTTTATCAGTTTAATGGATCTAGAAACTACTACTATTTTCCTATCGGGAACTAAACCAAAGAAAACGCGACACATTTATTAGGGGCCTGGCTTCAGTTCAGCTCTTCTGTTGATGCTGTTGTCATTTCGTTACCTCAGAATTACAAAGTTACCAGCTCAGTGGGTCTACCTAGTTTTGAGAAATGTGACGTCAAAGATTTTGAATTTCCCATTATGTCAAGCTTTTTCGAATGCAATTCTTCGATTATCTCGATAACGACTCCATAATCTGACAATTTTGATAGAGCAGATAGAACATCTTGGTTCTGAAAGAAAGGTCTTAGTAACTCAAAACGGCCAAAAATGTCAGATAGAACTTTGCGACTCTAAGATAGCAATTTCTGTACAGTAGTCTGAGTACAGTGAGGATGATGTAAAGTGTATCACAGACACTTGCACAACGTCGCAGCCGTATAGTTATAACATTATGTAATCAAATGAGGTGACTGACGTCCCTTTTCAACACTGAAAGTATCACACTAGAAATGGCTTCTCCATAATAGTACTCTTAGGCGTCTAGTTCATGATTGTGTAATGTTGTCTTAAGCACACCGTTTTTTCGGATTCCCTAATGATATCTTGCTACCCTTGTATAATAGTAGATAGATAGATAGATAGATAGATAGATAGATAGATAGATAGATAGATAGATAGATAAATAGATAGATAGACAGATAGATAGATAGATATCTGACTGTGCTTGGTCTCGTTTGCCGCCCCACCTCCACCCCCATCCCTCTGACTGCACTAATCTTTCTTAATTTGATTTGATACAAGTTTCCATGTTATAACTGTGCAGGCTTGCTAACTTATCAAGACACCAATCCCTATAACATTGTCCTTTTTAAAAAAAGATTTGACCCTGGGTCAATCCAGTGCTTTCAATGGACTCGTTTGTTTGTTTATTTATTCATTTTATCTTTATTTTGGTTTGAAGGGAGGGTTACGGTTCATTTCTGTTTTTCAGAGCCAAAAAATTGTAGTATGTTTCGATTTAAGTGTCTGTCTTCATATATTTGTCTGATCTGTAAATGTTATGTTTTGTGAGGGAAATCACTTTTGATACAAAATATACAATATTATAGAAGAGAACATTCATACATTTTGAATGACACAATGAAAACCACCCGTTCTATTCTGGGACACGTTATAAGTCTCGCTGCTGAGCATGCCATGTCAATAATAATGATAAAAGTAATATTCATAATGATAATATTTATAAAGATAAATAACGCATTTAAATTCCCGATACAGAAGATTCAATTACTGGGGGGGGGGGGGGGGCGGTACACCCCCAAAGTCCCAATTTGGCTAAAAAATTATGGAATTTGAGTTGTAGCCATTTTTAGCTTCCTCAGCCTCTCCTACAACTATTTCATCTCATAAGAACCCCACCAATCTCTCTCTCTCTCTCTCTCTCTCTCTCTCTCTCTCTCTCTCTCTCTCTCTCTCTTTCTTTATCTCTCTCTCTCTCTATCTATCTATCTATCTATCTATTTATCTATCTCTCTCTAATTCCCCCCCTCTCTCTCTCCTTCTTTTTTCAGTGACAGTGGGAGGTTCAAGCCTTTTATTTACAGACAAATCTTACGAAACCAGGATGACTCTTACTAAGCATACATCAGTTAATACTGATTGTTCGTTTGTTTGTCTCTCAAGAAAACCCATCTCGGACGAGTTGACTATCCGGTCACTTCCAAACTCGGACATGTTGTTCCAAGCTCTGGCCAGGCAAGTTGTCGTCCCCGGTCAACCACCTCTCCTGGAGCCTCAGCCACTTCTGTGAGTCTTTTTAATTACGCCGCTATCGTTATCATTATGTTTTATGAGGCAAACTGCTTTGACCTTGATTGTGATATCTAATTCGAGGGTGAAGGGGAGTCAACGCTTCATCAAAACAAAAGGGGATACTCGATTTTTAAAATGTCCTTCAAAAAAAAAAAAAAAAAAAAAACATAATAAAATGAAATGTTTATCAATAAATACATATAATAAAATGAAATTTGTATAAATAAATAAATATAATAAAATGATCTTTAAAAATAAATAAATAAATAGATAAATAAATAAATAAATAATCAACTCTCTCCACATTGAAAAGAAACTCACTTGTTCTGTTCCCGTCAGCATAAAACCTATCCACCACTTATACCACAGACATCAGTTGTACGATGTTGGGTAAGGTGTATAATTATTATAGTCGCTCATTTCTTGGATATTGCAATTTTTGGTTTTGGTGGTGACAATGAAGATACCTGTACTTTGGTTATTGCTGTTGGTATTGACAATGACAATGACAACGACAATGACAACAATAATGGCAATCTCTATCCACCTCGCAGGAAGAATTTTTTTCTTGGTCGTTTACAATGGCAGTGGATGTTACAAAGGTTAGGCGCACTCACGCAAACGCTCAAGACACTGTCTCACGTGTTGAACAACCCGCTCCATAAAACATTCTCTCTCTCTCTCTCCCTCTCTCTCTCTCTCTCTCTCTCTCTCTCTCTCTCTCTCTCTCTCTCTCTCTATCTATCTATCTATCTCTCTGTTGTTTCATTTGTAGCACTGTGTGTACTGTAACCTCACTGCAGTTGGTACAAATGAATTTCTATATCTGTCTATTCTTGCTTTTTCGGAAACATTGATAGTGATAATGAAGATAGGTCATCTACATTTTTTTGGTTTGTTTTTGGTTGGTATTGGTGGCAAGAATTATTATACGAGAGTTTGAGTTTGTGTATGTGGTGATAATGATGATACTGTTCTGGTCGTCGTCGTTGATACCTGGGGTTAAAATGTTGTTACTAGTATAATTGATGTTGATGTTGGCTGTAAGGTGATATTACTAGAGTTGATATTTGAGGTGATAATGATCCTAGTACATGTTTGTAAAATTGATATTTATGTGGAGGGGATAATGATCCTAATAACGTTGGTATTGGGGTTGTGGTGATAAGGATGACACTATGACCGAGATTGGTGGTGTTGTAATGTTGTCCTTTATTGAAAGTGGAGCTGTAAGCAACAAGTGGTGACGGAAGTTTAAACGGTGTTTGAAGAGAAGCAGGAGGAGAAGAGAAAAGAGAAAAGAGAAAAAAGGAAAGAAATAAGAGGAAAGGGATGATCAGCTGAATGTATTTAGAAATAATAAAAGTTAGTAAAATACGTCATCTGATCAATACCAAGAATACTGCTTTAATAGTAACTAGCTTAATTTTTATCAAAACTCGATTATTGTAACTCCCTGTTATCAGGAGTATCACTGGAGAAAGTTAAAAGACTTCAAACTGTCCAAAACAATGCTGCACGTTTAGTTTTACAGAAAAGAAAGCGAGACTCTGCTAAACCTCCTTTTACGAACTTTGCATTGGCTTCCTGTTCAGAAAAGGATTGTGTACAAGTTGGCCACCCTATGTCACAAATGTTTGAATGATAATGCACCATCATATTTATCAAATCTGTTAAGACCTTACATTCCAACTCACAGTTTAAGGTCATAAGCTGACAAAAAGAAATTTATTTTACCATCTATGAAACTTAAAACAATGGGTGAAATGGCATTTGAATACCAAAGCCCCAAGATCTGGAATGCTTTACCAAGTACTTTGAGAGAAATCAAATCTTTTGATTCTTTCAAATGTCAGCTGAAGTCGTTTCTGTTTTTAAATTAATAAGATGAATATTTGGAATAATTTTCTTTAGTCAGAACACAACGTGTCATGTTACTCTTGTATGTTGTACTGTATTGTAAAGCGCTCAGAGCCTGTGTACTTTATTCGGGGTTGAGCGCTATATAAATGTCATTTATTATTATTATTACTTAATGTAGGAATAGAATAGGACATACAAAGGACAATGTGTGTGTGTGAGGGGGGAGGCAGGGGGAGGCAGGGGGACGGTGGAAGTGGAGTGTGTGTTTGTGTATGATCACAGGCAAAAGCAGTGTTTGGCCTAACTTGATGGATACATAGGTAGAGTGGGATACCAACAATATACATTACAACCCCCTACTCGATAAAACAAACAAACAAAACAAACAAAACATTCGCCTCCTCTTCTACCTCCCCCCCCCCACCCACCTACCCACCCCCTCTTCCGTCCCTCTGTTCCAGGGAGAAAGGTAACGTATGCCCCCAAGTGCTGAGTCAGCTGTGGACATACAATAGTGTCCAGTTCGGGAACATCTTCTGTTGGGCGTTAGCCAATTTCCAAGAGGATATCTTCTTCAACGACAAGTGCATGTGAGTGCAATGATAGTGTATACAATGGGCCATCGTTAAAGAAAAACTAAAAACTAAGTTTATGGGTTTAGTGCCCCTATCAACATTAGTATGTTATTTAAGAGATGGAACCTCCGAATTTGACATCCTTCTCCAATAACACGGAGCCAAATTTGATAGGTTGAGAACCTGTAAACTCCACGAGACGACCCTAGTTCAAGCTGGCCGAGTCTTGGATTCGAACCAGGACTATTCGCTCTGTAGCCCAGCATGATACCAACTGAGCCAGCGGAGCATCCTAAACAAAATTCGCACAATTCCTTTTTAATAAGCTTACATAAAATGATCACGGTTGAAGGTTGAACATTAATAATGAGCAGTCGGGTTGATCTCATCTTAGAAGTGTTTCGTATAATACGATGTCCCGTAAAAACCATACCGTAGGTTGTTCCAGATGGCAAAAAAATATAATCACCTAGGCTGTGGGGGTGGGGGGGGGGGATTCGTAAGGTGCATAGATTATCCTTATCTGGCCAATCCTTGTATTAGTTTGGCTTTCTCCCGCGTTAGATAAATGAGAATTGTATTTATCTTTCTTCAGCTAATTTTTAATGGGTGATTTTAGGAGGCTGGCTTCTGACTCTGCATGTCGTGCCAGGGCCACCGAGGGGTGATAGAGAAACAGCATTCCAGCAGAAAGACCCAGATACTCGATAAAAATTCTCCCTTTACGAGAATCTAACTCATGTATCCTGCGTGCAACAGCAAAGCGCCCAACCGCTACATCATAGACGCCGGTGAAAATGCCATAAAACTTTCCAATTCTACACTTCCTATTAATCTGTAATTATAAATAAATAGCTCACTAAACCTACACTTTATATTAACGTGAAATATTCTTTTTTTTTTTTTTTTTTTTTAAAGCTGAAGTAAAATACACTTCCTGATTGTATTTTCAAAGTTAATCTAAAGTACAAATTCTAATAATCTGAAATAATTGGAGGAAAAAGGAACCAAACAAACAAAGAAAGAACAAAGCTTACAAAACTACACTTCCTATTAGCTTGAAATAATAACAATTATTAAACACCCCCCCCCCAAAGAAAGAGGTGGACCGACAACATTGGGGGGTTTAAACGGAAATACTAATACAAAAAACTGGCACACCAAAAAAAAAAAAAAAAAAAAAAAAACAAATCTTGTGTTTTCCAGGGGCTCTGCGTGCAAGGGCTGCGGTCACAGCTTTGGCTATAGCTTCTTCGACGAGACCCGCACAGTATGCCTGCCTATATATCGCACTGTGTCGCTTTGGGCCTTCTGTCCGAGCCTACCAGCCAACAACAGAATAGTCAGGGACCGCATCATCCTTCCGTCCGACTGTTCCTGCACCGCCATCAAATGCCAGTCAACTTTTGGCAGAAGCAGCGGGTCGTTTGTAACGACAAAGAACATCTAATGGAGTCGATGGACGTGGTGTTGACAGACATACAGCCCGATGAAAATTGTACATAATAGTAATATCCTAATAATATTATGTGTCACGACAAGATGGAATCAGGCGCTCGTCATTTTGGGGGGCATATTGATCAAAGGCATAAAAAATGCAAACCTAAGTTTCCAAGGACATTCAAGCTTTAGAAGTCACCAGACTTTGGCCGCCGTTTCTTCGCTAACATTACCTCTGACATCAGGAGACCCCCGACTTGTTCCATTTCAAACATCTCGACTTCTATTCTAGACAAATAGTAATTTTTTTTCACCGAACGCAAGACAAATAAACAAGCTTTGAGGTGATACCTATGTAAATCCACACATGAATGTGTATTGAAATGGACGTATAAGGTGTATAGTCAAGACTCGAAAAAATTAGAACGATATAAATTGTCGAAAGGTAAAAAAGATGCCAACGTTTTCGATTCCATTATTTAGCTGAGCGCCTGATTTCACCACGATGCCACGCATACGTCATTTATCACTAGATCTAGTTTGAGTTATCTTGTTAGATTACTGTAGCATTTTAAAAAAACCATTAGTCCCATATGAGAGAAAAACATACAAGAAATGTTTCTTTTCTTTATTCAGGCATTAACCTAATTTAATCGCTATTTGATTCTACTCTGCTCTTTATAATAACTGCCTCATTTTCCACAAAATAATATCGTAAACAACGTATCACCTTTAAAGTTTTGAAATAATACAATTTTAGTTAATTTTTTAACGTCATCTGTTTGTGGTAAAGCTTTTTGAAAGCCTTTCATTTCCTGGGTATTTCCAAACATCTTCAGAGATCAAATACAAATGACCTTATTGAATTACAGATCTCACCATCTTTTTTTCTATCTCTCGGTCTTTTTGCCACTGTCTTTTGTTATCGCAGTTTCTCTTTCTTTGATCCCACCGTAGCCCGTCTCACCATCTGTCTCCCTTTCTTGTTTCTCTCACGTTCTAACTCTCTCTCTCTCTCTCTCTCTCTCTCTCTCTCTCTCTCTCTCTCTCTCTCTCTTTCTCTCTCTCTCTATTTCTCTCTCTCTCTCTCTCTCTCACTCTCTCTCTCTCTCCCTCTCTCTCTCCCCCATCTAACCATGGGACGACTATATTTAACAAAAATACACTGGTTTTAATCAGTATGTATGCATTTCTTTAAAAGGTCATGTAAACATGTTGGACGCATTATCACACATTTCAATTTAACATTTATTTCATTAGATACATCTTTATTTTAAGCTTTTTAATATGTAGTAAATAAAGTAAATAAAATCCCCTATGTATTCCAGCACGTATTTCTTTCAAACAACACGGAGAACTTATTAATGTCCTGTTGATTTTGAGATGGGCTCACATTTCTCTCTCTCTCTCTTTCTCTCTCTCTCTCTCTCTCTCTCTCTCTCTCTCTCTCTCTCTCTCTCTCTATCTCTATCTCTCTCACACACACACACATACACACACACACACATACACACACACACGCATAGACAGACACACACTCACATACACACAGATAGTCACACACACACAAACACACACACATACACACGCAAAAACCTACCCTGCGTATTAAACAGAACCTCTGCAAATCGACAACCTAGTGTAAAACACGGTCACACGCCATTTTGAAAAGTAACATATTATGACAGTCTAACACCGAGCCTCTGCGAATGAACTAAAGATAACCTTGACGTTTCCAAACTGTACGCCGAAAGATGAGTGCCTTCATAAAAATTAAAGTATTTTCGTCTCTTTTTTTTTCGCGAAAATCATTTTTGTTGAAATAAATCAAGAAGACGGAAAATGATCCCATTGTCACGATAACCCACAGAATTCTACTCTTATAGAAGCGGAACTCCCTCTTCGCGATCGCTGATTCGCTGTGAGGAATTGAAACTAAAACATGGCGGCCAGTTGAGGGCAGCTTTGGCTGAGCCGCGCAGGGAGGTTTCGCGTTGCTATGCACGCCGATGTTAGTAGTAGGGCTTGGAAGACACCTTACATCAGTATGTTAAGACTTTCTTCGAAGAGGAAATATAGTGAAATAGTCTAGTATATTTTTATTGCCAACAATATGTCATAATTGGCAATGTTACAATGTTTTTGTGTTGTTGGTTATTTTTTTTTAAATGATGGGATGAGATCTAGATCTAGATTCTAGATCGACTAAAGATCTTCTCAATCACAATACACTTGATAATAACACTAATTATGAACATTAATTCTATTGGCAAAATATCTAGATATAGTCTTGATTAGTACTAGATCTACTATAAAGGGGACGCTGAGAGTAACATGCTCACTACAATTACATTGTCATTAAACTTAAGGATATCCACTGCAAGCAAGAAAGAACAATATAAGCCTTTTCTCCAATTTACTAGAAAGAGATCAATAAATTGAGCTTATATTGAAGAAATGTATTATTTCTCACTTTAACAATTCATCTTTGTGTTTGCAACAGTGAAATATAGTGTGTACAACATGCTTTGTTTAAAGCACGTGCAAGTCTAACAAATACAAGAGATTGGAGAATGTGTTGGTTGCACATAAAATACATAAGCCTACTGTACATTGTTCCAAAAACACAAAAATGCAGAAAAGGCCTCAAATATTGTTTTACGCATGAAAGCCAATAATGCAAAACAAAGTAAACTAGAGTGGAACTGGCATATGTTTCCTGAATACATGTTCAAAGTCATTTTTGTGTCTGTTGGGAGTGTGGTTTCTAATTAATGCATGAATGATAGGCTCATTCAGATGTGATAATGAAGAAACTTGTGTCTACAGTCACAACAGAAAGAGTTCCATGGCGAGTGATCATTGGTCAAGGATATCAGAGCTGTGTGCATTTTGAGAAAAAATGTATTCCCATACCTGGATCACATGTCAAGGGAATGGGCTTGTCCCCCTGTAATCCCGGCACACAGAAAACAAACACACATTTTTGAACACGTATAAGGAAAAATAAGTGATCTCTTGTTACGGATCAAATTGAAGTCTTGTTTCAATTCGATTAATTTATTAAAGCGCGTATCGCAATGCATTGGCAAACCCTGCCCTATAGGCCTATACTATTTAATTAATACATTCGTCAGATCTGGAATCTTTAATGCCCGCACACAGTAAGCAAATACACATTTTTGAACACGTACAAGAAAAAATAAGTGGTATCTTGTTACGGATCAAATTGAAGTCCTGTTACAATTCAATTAATTGATAAAAGCGCGTATCGCAAGGCATCGGCTAACCCAGCACTATTACGCTATTTAATAAATACATTCGTCAGATCTGGAATCTTTAATCTTTTAATTTTTAATCCCAGCACACAGTAAACAAACACACGTTCATGAACACGTATTGAAAAGTGGTCTCTTGTTACGGATCAAATTGAAGTCTTGTTACGATTCAATAATTGATACTAGCGCGCATTGCAATGCCTTGGCTAACTCAGCATTATACGCTATTTAATAAATACATTCGTCAGATCTGGAATCTTAAATTGTAATCATAATTATATGTGCCGCGCGTGGAGTGTGAAAGTGAAAGGAATTGAAAATGCTTTCAAAAACAATTTAAAAAGTAACATAATTAAAGTAGGACTACATGTGCTTATTATAAAGGCCCAAAAAGGTGTATGGGTGCGGAAATTAATGTTTCGGATAAAAATAACACACTATCTCTACTACTGTAGCATGCGGTCAAAAATTTGTTGCGCAACGTATTATCAAATATCTAGGCTACTGAACTATCGAACATCTAGATCTAGATTCTCCCACTTTTGCACAATGACTTAGATCTATATCAATTCGTTTTAACAGATGAGTATTTTTTCAAACATTTGTACACATAGGTTCTATATTATTCTAGAAATTTCTTTTTTTTTAATTCTTTAATAAATACTAGCCAAATATTTTTTTAAAATCCCAGTCAATGGTTTCTACAGATTTTAAAAAGTTTATAGCTGGAGCTAAATCTCTTTTAAAGCAGTCCGTCCTTTTTTTCTACTTCTGCTGGCGACATAAAGTTAATTATTGAACGTATGTTTTGAGAACATTAATTAGATCTTGTGAAAAAATATGTTCAGTGTAAAACAAATTTCTTGTAACAAGTTTTGCTACAAAAAATGACGCAGGCCACATGCGTATGCAAAATTTGTGTGAGAAGCTAGAAGTGCTGTGAACAATCCCATCCGTGTTACAATTTTTTCACAGTTCTGTAGATCTTATATAAACTCTCTATGTCTGGTTTTTCTGTTGTTGCACCCAAAAACACAACAATTCAAAACCTTAATTCCAATCTCCAGGTTGCACAGTGAATTCTGTAACTCAAAATTACAAACTGGGCAATAAATGTTCCACTTTTCACTCGTTTGTAAAAGCCGCTCTAGCTTTAAAAGCTATAGGGTTACTTCCGAAAACGATAAATCTTGCCCTCAAGACGCCATTGTTTTCGGTCTTCAATTCCTCACAGGTCACGTGGTACTGTGCCCGTTCTATAAGTGCACACTTCTGTGCGATAACCAAATCGCTGGTCACGTGGAAACTTGATGACTCATTCATTCCTGTTTTATAACCCATCCGTCGGTCGCCTGATGAAATCGTGAATTCCACACGAAGCAAATTTTACAGGAGAGGGAAAAAACTGATTGTCTCCGTCATTTGGCGTTCAAGACATAAAATAAATGAATAAATCTGGTCAATTACCTTGTAGAAATAATACTGTAGTATATATTTTTTTATTGCAGAAGGTCAGTTTCACGAAAAAGTGTGGGGTTCACGATTTTCATGTTCAAATCTCGCCTGATGCGGTCGTGGAATTTCACGATTTCATCAGTGGGCTTTATGAAAGGCGGTGTTGTATTCACGGTTATTAGGCAGTGTGTTTTCTCTTATTAGTGGCCCTGGTAAGTTTTAAAATATATGAAAGCACGAAATACTGTTATACTAAAGATTTTAAAAGACCAATTTAAAACTGAGTTTGAAATTATACACTGATCGAGTGAAACAGAAAGCTATTCATTATTTTACCACTATAAACATCAATCATTCTTACATGAAAGGAATATTGTATCTAATTTATGAAATCTTACTCCTTCATTTACCTGTTCTCTCTCTCTCTCTCTCTCTCTCTCTCTCTCTCTCTCTCTCTCTCTCTCTCTCTCTCTCTCTCTCTCTCTCTCTCTCTCTCTCTCCTTCTCTCTCTTTCTCTCCAATTTTATGTAAGTGTATGTCTTTTTATTGGGCTTGGGGGGGGGGAGGGGGGGATTGGTTAAGAACTTGATTTGTATCAAACTTCTATACCCCGAGAATGACTGGATGATCATCTTTCGTTATCTTACCTTTTTTGTCTCTCAGATCCTGAAAATTACTCTTTGCGATTTTTAAAGGAGAATTATACAGTGGGGGGGGGGGGGGATTGTTTGGTAAGTTTTACTTGTCTGTGGACTTTAGAAGACTCTCCCACTCTCTGTTAGAGTACAGTTTGCAAAGGATTTCTTCTTGGGTATGTATATCAGAGACTTCATATTGCATTAACAGTTTGGTCTTCTTTTTGTCTACCCGACTAGACAGTTTTGTACACTGCAATTTTGGCAAAATCATGGAAAAAAATGTGATCCATAAATTTCACTTTATAGGGTCTTCGTTGATATAATTATAAGCATTTCAGTTATGAAAATGGCAGCATAATCTAGTGGGCTGTATATTTGTATGTTTTATTTGAAGCCACCACTCAATGAGGCCGTGCGTACTATCTACTTGCATTTGAGTGTCACCTCTAACAAGATTTTGTATTCAATTTCGGTGTTTGCGTTAGTGGAAAAGGCACCCACGGCATTATAAATAGATACAATCTTATGCTCACACACACACACACACACACACACACACACACACACACACACACACACACACACACACACACACACACACACACACTCACACACTTACACACACACACCTGTAGCCAGTGGCGAAGCGTCTATATAATCAAATAATCACTGCTTCCCTTCCTAATTTTGAAATATTGCCGCTGTCTAATTCACGCATAGACGTAAACCTCGTAAATTAAATATAAAAAGACATTCATAATCACCAATGAACAATATGCCTAACACTCAAAACGGTTTCATTGCCACAGAAATGGGAGGTCGACGTTTCGCCGCAATTACGTCACAGCGTGTACCTGTGGAAAATGAGAATGATCGTTTCGCCGCAGATTGAATTCGATTACAACTAGATTCAGTAGTAGTAGTAGTAGTAGTAGTAGTAGTAGTAGTAGTAGTAGTAGTA